CCCAGTTTACTACAAAGTAAAACGTAGTAACACTTTCAGTGAGCCACTGTGAACACTTATATCAGTGTTGACTTTAATCGTTCTGTCCATGGTAACAAGAATGTTATTTTAAAATAGTTGTATTTTAGTTTTGTTCAATAAGTTGAAATGTACGTGTATTGTTTTAGTGATTGTATACTCTTGGAATGGGGCATGGATTTTTTAAAATTTAAATATACCGCCCTCTGGTGGCGGTTTGCAGATTTTAGGTAAGAAATACCAGCGAGGTATTCTGACTCCGTAGTTATTTGAGTCTGTAAACTGATTCGTCTTAGTCGATTATGGCGGAAATTGTACATTTCTGTTACAATTTTGTGGACTGAATCAGTTGTAACCATGGTATCATATTTTTTATTCCCTATTATTTGTCTGGTTGCGATGGAGAATATACGAGTGGTGTACGAGCCGTATCCCTAGGAATTGCTGACGCTTGTGTGTAAATATCGTGAATTGTGGTTTCTCGCTGCATACCCTGTATGTTGTTTATTGCTTCAATACTGCATTTACATTTGACAATCAGTGGTCTGTATAAACATTGAGTCCACACCCAGCCAGTTTGTAATAGCAATTGTAGGTTTTTTTTAAGCACAATAGAAGTAGGTCATTAATTCATCTCCAACGTCACGCGATCTATATAAAAGTCTCAGTATGATATTTCATGTGAACACAGGTATATGAATGGCATAAATGTCCTATGACAATTGGTGAAAGCAAAAAAATTTGACTTGATAAAAACGAGTAAGAATTCTCAGCAAAAAGACATTTAATGTATATAATTTTTTTCCCACGAAGCATACTGGTTTGTCAAAAAGCACAAAGTGGGATCTATTTTTGACTAATGGTACAGTCCCAAACAGCTGCAACAAGTCAGCCGACGTGCAAATCTACTACACATTGAATGGTCTTGAATTTAAATCATAATTTAATTTTATAATATTATTTGTGATAACGAATTCATATTTAACTATAATCTTTTTAATCTGAGAAGCCTACCTATACCACCATCCACCTCTACTACAAGAGTCCAATGTATAACACTAATTATGTGATTGGTATTATGAACAGTGATTGGACTGTGGTTATGACGTCAGTTGACAGTCAATCACTCTTTATTTTGCTTTTTCATTCAACATCCGTGTAATTAAATGCAGGACTTTGTGACAGGCGCATGTCTAATTTTCAAATAATTGTCACAAGAACAACGGAATAACAAAAAATACACAGTTTTTTTTCCGGCGAATTAGACAGTGAATTTATCGACTAAACAACCATGACAAGCATACTGTAGAACATGTTGAAATAGCTGCATGCAATTTTAGCGGATTTGACTCTTGGCATGAATTAACAGAATCTTAATTTAGCTAAAGAGTCGACTATCTCTCTGTGAGAATATACTTTTTGTTACATTAGCTGCATCTTGAATTAGCGAAATTACAGTTTAGCTAAATTAGCTAAAATAACATGCTAGCAAAAAAGGCATGTTTTACAGTAATATATCGGGACATTGTGTTTGACACCATAAGCAACACGGTTTAAGGCAACTCGTCTGTGCCAAATCGGTCGATGATTGACTTCAATCATGAATATGTTCCACTGTGTGTGGAAACACCATACTTTAAAATCACTAAAATTGTAAATAATAATATTAAAACACTTACTTAGCAGTAACATCGTCGTGCACTTCTTTCATAGCATTCAAAATAGATTTGGGTATTTTCGTTGGGCATTTGATGCTGCACTGGAAATCGTCTCTCGACTGGATTTGTTTACCATAATAGACTTGTACGCGGTCAATTGTTTCGCCCGCCATGTTCAGATTTGTCTACAGACCAGCGTATGGAAGAATAGTCGCGTGACAACTTGTAGTCACTTGCTTGAAATATTGAGACGTAGTTGCGTTACAAACCGATAAATTTGGAAAGTTGATGTTGTAGTCGAGTGCTGAACACAATGTGGGAAACGTTGTGGGCACGGTTCTAAAAGCCGTACCTACACACGAATTGGTGACGTCATAAAATACATGACCTTCAATCGGGGTCGTTTCCTCGGCATATACGAATTGGTATATACAAATTATAATAACGATACTTAAGACATTACACATAAGGTGAAACAAATCACGTGACAATATAATGATAATAACGGTAATAAATCCTAGCTTAACAGTTGAACATAACGTTCATATACTAGTTTATAAACAAACAATTTATTAACTCATAACAACCTACTGAAGGAGGTTAAAGGTTACAACAACAACAAAAATTACAGATAAAAATTAATCAAATTACAATGGCTAATAGTTTAAAGACAACCAGAAACAGACTAAATTGAAGTTAGTAACGGAAATATATAATAAAGTAAAATGAAACACCAACAAAAAACTATAAACTGAATATAAAAACAAAAACCCAATGAATAGGTTTAAAAAAAAAAGTTAATGAACTAAGTAGGTGCTGCTGTCTAATAGCAAAGCTGTATTTCAGACATTGTGCCAGAGGAATTGCTAAGTTATTATTTGACATTATTTTTATGAATTTATTTTCAGGTGTGAGATTAGTAAAGTCAGGAATAATCTTTTCAGCTTCATTGGTATAAAATGACCCTCT